TTAAAAAATTAAAAATATTAACTCTTCCTTCCTTATTTACATTTGAGTTCGTTTACCTAATACGTAAGCATGTATCAACTTCTCAAGAAAGGCCATCTCACATTTATCCTCTCAGGAACGCAGAGCAAAATCTTTATCTACCTACCCCACGCTCAGAGTTAGTTAAAAGTTCAATATTATACAACTCCAAAAAAAACACCTGCCATTTGAAATCAAATACACAACATCATTTTCTTCATTTCGCAAAGCATTGAGATCTTTTTTTTAGCATTTAGTTATTAGAGCATTTACTAGACAAGGCTTTCTACGCCGTAAATGACTTATATTTTGATAATCGAATTTGATCTTGTAAACACTGGTCTAATGTTTGCTATTGCTCTTTGAATAAGAAGGCTAAGGAAGGAGCATAATGCTATCCATGTATTCATGCATGGTGGACGGAAAAAGCACTCTATGGTGGGGATCCTTGACAGTTCTGTTTGACGATTCATTTGACACATATGAATTTGATTTGAAATTTTGTGGATTTGTCAGTCTTTACGGAGCTTATTTTATGTTATTTATTATTTATTCTACTACTGATAGTTGTATAAAGGTAGTAAATCTAGATGGAAATTGTGGCAGAACTTAAATTAACAGTGACACTATCGCGATTTATCGAAAAAGACTCTAAAATAGTTGGTTGTGTAGCGTGCGGTAGATCTCGGCAAAAATCGAGTGAAATAATGGAACAACTTTTCGCTAGTAAGTGACTATATAATATACATACGTGTAGTAAACCGATCATTTATGAAATTCACTTAAATTAACTAATTATATATTTTTTCTTGCATTTTTGCTTTTATTTACTATTTGTCAATGATTAGATGTCAAAGAATTTAGATTCGTCAATTTGACTTACCTGCTTCAGTAGCGTATCGGATGTTTATGGTTATAAATAATTATTATAACTTATCCATTTTTATTAGAATTTTATATTTTTATAACAATTTTAATAACTACCAACATTTATTCACAACGTAAAATAAAAATAAAAATTGTTGAGTCTACCCCACGTCTACCCTACAGTACATCTGCTGGATCTGTGTCTATGAAAGGAATGCGGACAAAAAACTTTTAAATAAACAGCAATATATTTTATACGTCGATTTGACGAGTGTGTCACCGCAAATCGCTCCGCCCACTCATTTTATTGGCTATTTACAAATTTGTTGAATTTTTATTGATGGGACGCGTCGCCTATTTTTTTACGAAAAACTAGAGAATATCGTTTCCCCTCTTACGGATACCCCGTAGCTACAGAACGGACAAACGTACTGTACATCATAGTTTTACATTTTTTAAATAAAATTAGAAATTAGAACGGCACTGATAAACCGGAATTTAAGTCGGCCATATTTGAGGCCCATCGCGGTGGCCCTAAGATTTTTAATGTGCTCCTTCCTTAGTCTTCTTATTCAAAAGCTATTGCTATATTTACCAATGACATACTAACTAAATATTTTTGAATATTATTTTAATTTTTTTATTCTTTGACATTGTAAACATTTATAAATGTTTATTTTAAACAATAAGACTGACAATGTTATTTGTATAATGTTTTGTATTCTCTTTTGTTTGTTTTTTTGTTTGTTTACTTTGTTTGTTTAGTTTACCTTTGTCTACAAATTGTAAAATTTTTTGACAATAAAGGCATTTATTTATTTATATTAAAACCTTAAAACCTATTTTATTAAATTAAAAAATAATAAAAAAATAATTTTATATATAGTGAAGGTTCCTCCACTTCCAACATTAACATACCTATAAAAAAAATTGTGGGACTGCTTATATGTCATTTTTATTGGACTATCTATAAACTAACTGGCCAAATTAGCAACAGGTTACGAGTTATGGGACGTTGTTATCCATAATCCAGAAATATAAACTAACCAAACCCTTCGCGTCTATGAGATTTATTTTGATTTATTGGACAATTTATTTCAAAACGGCTCTATAAGAGAGATATAGCGCAACAGGATGTTTTTCAGCAGCTCGATGCTAATGGAAAGAAAATAGAATCGTATCCGTATTTATTTTTAGAAATACGATAAATATTCAGATAGCCTTACGCGGGAGATTTCAAGGACATTCAGTATTGAGTTCTTTGAATAGTCTCCTTGTGACAAAGGGGTATTAACGCATTATTACAATGCATATTTCCATAAATAAAGAGAGATTTAGAATTTAGAATTAGAATAAGTGGGAGGGGGGTTAATCTCTGCGACCTTAGAGATCTATTGTGTCCCCCTTTCTTGAGTTATAACTCATCATACAGTCCCAGGACTTCCTACGGAGACCCGTGTCCTTCACAGTCGAGGATCTACGACCCAGGCCGGGTAGACGAAACGGTAGCTTGTGTCGCCTGTTGGGTTTAGAGGTAGGAGGTAGGCTCCCGACCCTTGGAGTAGGTGGTAACTTGTATGCCACTTGCGGAGGATGGTCTCACGCAAGTGTCAGCCACCTCTCCTGTAGTTCTCTTTGGGTTTGGCCCCTTGGAACTTTCATTGTTACTGTTCCCAGTGTTGCTAGGGGGTTTCTCCACAGCTTCACCGGTGATGTTTTTATTACTATTATTACCAGATCTCATAGTGTTCCCATGAGTCGCTAGGGACAGTCGGTCCACTTCTACAGAGCCCTGCATGTAGAAGTAAGGGGTAAAATACAATGGGGTGCCCCCCGATGCCCCAAGGTTGAGGCTGTCCGTAGCCCCGCCCGGTATCGTTATAATGTCTTGGTGCAATTCCCTGGCCACGACATTACAGTCAGGGACAAGATGATGAGTGAGATGCTTCTTAGACCAAGCCAAGTGCTAGAGGGGATTCCCCCCAGCACCTGACCAGGAGCTTCCCCACAAACGACAAGGTCTTGCATCTCCTAGGGGAAGCTTAATAAGAAAAATAAAGACAGATAGAGAATAAAGACAGATAGATAAATGTCATTGACTAATAGTCGAACGAAGCAGTAGTATCTGGATCTGTATAGAACAAATGGTACCACCATGGTCTCAAACGTATCGGCCCCTGAAAAATCAAGCTGCGCTGCTTCCTCCCACTATTCTGCGTACTTATCCCCATTAAGTTTTCATGGAAAATATCTTTGAAGCTTTTGAGTTGTCCACGCAGTTTCCTCTTGCCGTCTGCAAGCTCACCATAAAGAAGAGATTTTAGTAGGCGGTTTTCTTGCATCCTGCATACGTGGCCAGCCCATCTTAAGCGGGATTTAGTAATTATGACTTCAGTGCTTTGGCAGCTAGCTTTTTCAAGGATCGATACGTTTGAGAGATGGTGGTACCATTTGACTCTTAACCGTTGTCTAAGGTGTTTCTGTTGCAACTTGTTTAATGCGTTCGTGTGCCGGCGGCGGTACGGCACCCAGGTTTCGCTTCCATATAACATGGTAAGGATTATTATTGCTCGGTACACTGCTAGTTTCGTTTTTGTGCTCAAGTCATGATTGTAGAAAAGCCTGTCCTTTAATTTCCAGAAAAAAAAATCAATTGGTAATCAAAGGACAGAAGAAAACAGGGAAGACCGAAACTGGAATGGCAAAAAAGCGTACACAAAGCGATGAGTGAAAGAAACCTGTCAACAGAATATTGTACGAATAGAACAAGCTTGAAATTGGTTATCGAACAACGTAGAAAAACGTTTTAAACCGAATAATATACAGGGTGTTTCAAAACAAATGCGAAAAACTTCAGGGGGTGATTCCTTGTTCAAAATAAAGGGTAGTTTGCTTTATAAACGTTGGGTCACAAGTCAACCATTAGGGAGATATCGCGATACAAAGATGGCGGAAAAATAATGTTTTTATTTTTTATCTTGAAAACGAAAAGAGATAGACTAATGAAATTTTATGGAAGCATTACTGTTATGAAAACACACTTTCTGGTAATTTTCTCACTTTTCTAAAACGAGTGGAAGGGGTTGAAATAAACTACCCCTATCATTCTTGTTAACGAAATTTGAAGAAAAATCTTATCAAACACATGCAAAAAAAGTAATTTGAATAGTTTAGTTTGTTTAGAAACTTTTTTATCTCTTTTGTTTTTTTGATAAAACTCACCGATTTGAAATTAAAAGCATTACATGTCAGGACAAAAAACATTTTTAGATAAAGAATCTAAATGACATGTAATGCTTTATATTTTATTTTTTAATTTCAAATTGGTGAGTTTTATCAAAAAAATAGAAGAGATAAAAAAGTTTCTAAACAATCTAGACTATCCAAATTAATTTTTTTGCATGTGTTTGATAAGATTTTTCTTTAGATTTTTTTTCAAAACCTTTTTGAAATTTTTTTGAAAGTTTATTTCAACCCCTTCCACTCATTTTAAAAAAGTGAAAAAATACCAGAAAGTGTGTTTTCATAACAGTAATGCTTCCATAAAGTTTTATTAGTCTATATCTTTTCGTTTTCAAGATAAAAAATAAAAACATTATTTTTCCGCCGTCTTTGTACCGCGATATCTCCCTAATGCTTGGCTTTTGACCCAACGTTTATGAAGCAAACTACCCTTTATTTTGAACAAGGAATCACCCCCTAAAGTTTTTCGCATTTGCTTTTTTTGCAACAACCATGAAAAACAATTTTTTGAAAAACAACAAAAGAGATTTATTAAACAAACAAAAGAGATTTTAAATAATAATATAAAATGAAAATCGATACTCATTTAACTACTCTTATAATTTATTTATATCATTAAAGTGACATAATATAATAAATTTTACAATAAAATATATAGTTTCACCAACATCCCTTGCTACAATATTTTTCTGTCTCAGTCAATGAAGATATTTTTACTAGTGGTAAATGGATTTACTTTTAGTTGGAAGTGACGCTTGTCATGATTTTTCAGTTATTTTTAATTTTCCTTCATTTTAATGGAAGCGTACTCCAATTTTTATCAATGAACATCATTTTATTATTATTAATGTAGATTTATTTTGCTTTTTCAGGTCCTAACCATCACAGCTTTTACAGTGGAACGGTACCTAGCCATCTGTCACCCTTTTCGTTCTCACAAAATGTCCAAGTTGTCCAGATGCGTCAGAGTCATCATTATTATCTGGTCCATAGCCCTGGCCTTGGCCATACCACAGGCTGCCCAGTTTGGCATAGACGAAACAGTCGAGAATGGAGAGAAATGCACCCAATGCACGGTGGTGTGGAACATATTCGATCACGCTTTTGAGGTTAGTACTATTTACCTTTACTCAAACACCTTTACCTTGTACTTCCGGTTTATCAGTGCCGTTCTAATTTTATTCAAAACGTGCTTAAAAATATGAAGTAGGGTAGACGTGGGGTAGACTCAATAATTTGTTGTTTTATTCTATGTTGTGAATAAATATTGGTAGTCATTAAAGTTGTTATAAAAATATATAATTCTAATAAAAATAGTAAGCAAGTAAGTCAAATTGACGTACCTAAATTCTTTGACATCTAATGTTTGACAAGTAGTAAATAAAAGCAAAAATGCAAGAAAAAATATATAATTCGTTAATTTTAAGTGAATTTCATAAACGATCGATTTACTACACGTACGTATGTATATTATATAGACACTTACTAGCGAAAAGTTATTCTATTATTTCCTTCGAGTTTTTGACCGAGACGCTACACAAAAACTAGTTTACAGTCTTTTTCGATAAATCGCAATAGGGTCACTGTTAATTTAAGCTCTGCCACAAAATTTTTTCTATATTTACTACCTTTAAACAACGATCAATAGTAGAATAAATAATAAATAACATAACATAAGCTCAATAAAGACAATTCTCTAAAAATTCAAATCAAATTCAAATGTGTCGTCCAACAGAACTGTCAAGGATCCCAACCCCATAGTCCTCTTCTTAGGTCCTCTTTCCGTCGACCAGGCATGAATACATGGATAGCATTATACTCCTTCTTTCTTAATCTCTTTATTCAAAGGGTTGGATTAAAAAAAATACTTCTTTTATTTTGAGTTCGGAGACTATCAAAATTTGAAAATGTGAGTCAGGCAAAGAAAAAATATTTGCATTTGCATAGTGTGTTCATAATTTCGAGTTAACAATTTTCTTTTAAGCGTTAAATAAATGCCACTATTTGAAGATCATTAAATTATTCAAACAACGAGTTTTTTAACTGTAAAAATACGTGAACTTTAAAGCTTAATTTTAATTAAAAGAGCATCAAATTTAATTAAAAAACTAGAGTAATTAAAATAGTTTGAATAAAATACGCTTTAGATGTTAGAACAAAAAGACTATTAGAGTTTTTATGTTATTTTTCCAAATAAACTGTCATTTAAGTTTAAGTAATGAAAGTCGTAATGCTAGAAACAAGACGAGAATTTTAAAGAAAATTAAGTCTTATACAGGGTGTTTCAAAAAACATGTGCCATCTCTCGTGGGGAGTTTCCTCATATCAACATAGGTCCGATTCTTCTTTGTTTCGTAGCCACAGGGTGTTAAAGTGTTAATATTTCTTTCATTTAATATAATTTTCTTCCAAGTATTTTTAGCGTTTCGAATGAAATTTTGACGCTAAAAGTTACTATAACTGCGATATTTTAAAGCAAAAAAAGTATCTACATTTTCACCAGTCCATGTGCGTTATCACTGGAATATTTTTATAAAAAAAGCTTGTACGCATTGATGTTTTTTTTTCTTTTGTTAGCGAAATAGTGTAACCAGTTTAATGCCGATTAAAAGTTGTTTCTTGATATTTTGTCGATTTCGGCCTCCTTGATGAGATAAACGCAATTTTATTAATTTGCCTTGATTCAAGTCTAAAAGCAACATTTAAAAAAATTAATATCATTAACTTGCGAAAGTTTATTAATTTCTCATCAAAAAATATGATTTTTTTTCCTATAAACATGGGTATGGAAATGAATAGTTTTAGTGTTACAGGTTGTTAAAATTTTTTAAAATTAGGTTTTTTGTAATATCCCAAATACCATTATTTTTTTACTTCAAATTGCTGTAGGTTGGACTAATAGTAATAATATTTAATAGTAAATTAGTTAAAATATATATGATTTATTAATTTTATTTTTGTTTCAATTTAATTAATTGTGATTAATAAAATTGCGTTTATCACATCAAGGAGGCCGAATTCGACAAAATATCAAGAGACAACTTTAAATTGGCATTAAACGGCCTACACAATTTCAAAGAAAAAAAATCGAAAGAAAAAAGTCAGTAGCGCACATCTTTTAAAATATTCCAGTGATAACCCATATGTACGTCCCTGATGAATTTATCGACACTTTTTTAGCACTGAAATATGTAGCACTTATAGTAACTTTAACCCACAAAATTTTATTCGAATCACTAAAAGTACTTGGAAGAAAATTATAATAAATCGAAGGATTATTAAGACTGTAACACCCTGTAGCTACGAAACAAAGCAGAAGCGGACCTATGTTGATATGAAAAATAAATCTTATTTTTACGTGAGGAATCTCCCCACGAGAGATGGCATATGTTTTTTAAAACACCCTGTATAAATAACTTATAATCGCATGAAAAAAAAATAACTCAGAATATACGCAGAAATTAAAGATAAACACGCAAAATGAAATAGCGAAATAAAATAAGGATAATTTATTATTTTTATCAATAACTTTGAGTAGAGCATTATTCTAAATTTAAACTTGAGTGGGCTTTAGTTAAATTCACTTAAGCCATTTTTAGCGTATAAGATAAATATTTCCTTACTTTCTGATTTTCCTCAGATTGCATTTAGGGCGAAACGTGGCATATTTTATTAAAATATGGCGCCGCAGACGTGATTCAATTTTTTTCGCAAAAAATAAGGCTCCTAACAACAGGTTTTCGTTATATAAAAAGAAGACTAAAAAGTTGAATGGCAGCTTGAAAGTATTATATTGCGTTTTTCATTTTAGAGTTTTGTAGTAGGTACATACAGAGTGTCAAATTTAACCATAAAACCAACCTAATTTTGTTGAATATTTTAATCGTTAGGATGTCCGACTTGTTCGAAAGTAGCCATATTTATTTGGTCAATTTCGTCGTTTTTTGTGCACCGGTGGATATGAATTGTGAATTCTTTTGACTTTATTTTATTACGTGCGCTTTATGAATTTAAGTCTCTCTAACGATCCATGGCAGTTACAGTTGTGTCTGTTATTTTAATTCAAAAATAAATTGTATTTTCTGTCATTTTTTTAACGTCGTCTGTCTGAAATATTCCCTGACTCGTTGGACAAACTTTAGCTTATGCTAATTGTATATGCAAAAGGTAAATTTATTTGGAAGTATTGGCATGTAACGTGGAAAATTCCACACCTGTAATTTTTAACCAATCAAAACGTGTTTTTTGACAAATCACCATGGCAACGGATAAATTTTAGTGAAAATGTTTTCCTTGTGGGCACCCAACAGCGAATTATACTGGAAATTTTTTGACGTTTATAATGACAAAATATCTTTTTGAGAGTCTGGTTTTTATTTGTTTACATGATAATTTTTATACGTTTCAATTACAAAGCTGAGATGTTTTCTTTTCTATATTCTTTGGACACCTCCTTTCTTCTTAATGGCGAAACTGTAGGACACTATTTTATTCACCTTTTTTCCATTTAGCACTTTAAATTTTGAGTAGTTTAGATGCAAATATTCGGGAACAATTCGAAACAAATTTTCTTTCTTCAAGTAGGAGCCACAATCCTCTATTAATGCGGGTAAATATTCATTTTTAAAACAAAGAATTGTGTTCTCTTTTAGTGCGAAGTGTACAAGATAACATAAGGGCCGTATAAAACTCATCGCAACTTTATTAGAATATTTTGAACGGAAAAGCGGTAGTAATGGCCCTTTATGTCCCTTAAGTACTGTTAAGAAGTTGAATTTTGTTGATGTAAATAATAACTGTTTATATATTTATAATTAATTTATTTTTATTTCCTAAAATATTTTAATTAAAAGAAAATATGTAAAAGTGGGCAACGCTGTGCCGGTCAAGCTTAATCACGTGACTAAAAGTTTATTTGATATGAACTATATAAAATTATTTTCATTAAAATATTTACCAAAAATACCGTAGCATTTTTGATGCTACTAATGTTTAAAGTAAACAAATGGGACGTGATTAAATTGTAAATTTAAATTAGGCCATTAATTTAAATTGAATGTGTTTTAAAAAAAAATCTTGCATAAAAATATTCACTTTTATTGAAAATAAAATTTTGATGGGTATTAAATATATTACAATTTTCAGAATTAACAGATTTTTAAACAAAAAATAAATTCTCCGTATCCCATGGACAGCTCGAAGAACGAACCAGTCAATTCTCAATGAACTCGGCATCACAGATCGATTATCCACCATCTGCCATAGACGCATCCTGCAATACTTCGGTCATATCACTCGCCGAGGTAAAGACAACCTTGAAAAACTCATAGCACGAGGCAAAGTAGAAGGCCGAAGACCCAGAGGGCGATCACTTTCAAGATGGCTTGACCAAATAGCAAAATTATAGGTCATCCATTTCAATCAAATCTCTTAGAGGCGGAAGATCGCCAACGATGGCAGATCAAAATCACCAGCTGCACATAGCCCATAATGACTACTAACTAATAAACGATTCTTCAGGAATGAAGAGACGACGACGAAGAAGAAACAAAAAATGTCTATACCTCTGTGGCGGATTCATCTCTCCAAAAATGTCCTATGGGTATTTTGCCAGTGTAAGAAAATCTACAAAATTAATAGTTAATTTTTGTAAACACTGCTGCATTAATTTAACGGAGACTAATTGTCAGCAGTGGCTTACTAATAAACAAATTTGCCGAACGGAAAAAAATGCTTAACGTTTCGGAAAGTATATATCTTTCCATCGTCGGAAGCAAAAAAAATACAAAGAACAAAGAGAAAAAAATTTAAAATATCTAAATGCAACTATTCGAGAACACTAGTTTTTTTTTTAAACAGATACGTCTAGAAAAAACCGTTGACGTTCTGTCAAAATGACATTATATCCAAGTTAAACTTCAAAATTAACTAAATTACTTCCTGATAACAATTACTTAATATGTAAAACCTGGGTAAAACCAAAAAGCTTCAAATTTTCTGTATGATTTTTTTGAATTTGTTTTTAATTTTTACGTATGTTATGTTTATTTAAGTTATGTTCTTTAAAATCAAAAAAGTGAGTAATACATTTATTTTTATTGGATTGTAT